ATCGTTTAAACTGCCACCCATGCCTGACTACCATGATTCCCGAACAGTACGATCCAGAATATTTGCTCGAATCGGATTAGATTATTTAGGCCCTGTCACTGCTAGAAGTTGGAATGGCGAAAAGGTGGGTAGCATTATTTACAAGTTTCACAACTCGTGCAGTGCATTTAGAATTAGCAGATGATTTATCTGCAGAAAGTTTTCTTACTGCGTTAAGAAGATTCGTAGCACGACGAGGCTGTCCTAAACTAATTTTATCAGACAATGCTAGCCAATTCCACCTAGTCTATCGAATGATCAAGAAACAAGAATCACAATTAAGTAATTTCCTCACAAGCAAAGGAATAATATGGAAGTATATAACGCCGAAGGCACTGTGGAGTGGAGGAATTTATGAAAGAATAGTCGGTATAGTAAGCAAATTTGAAATTGAAAGAATCAATGCGGAAATAGAAATATTGGCTGACAAACAAAAACCCAATCCAGTATCTCATCAACAAAACATGGAAACTATCTGGCAAGAAATTAGTCAAGAAGGAGAAGAGCTAGCAGAACAGCTGGATGATGAGATTGGCAAAGCTACGTTACTGATACAAAATGAACTTTCGGAATTTGCCGTACATTGGCGCATGATTATTGGTGGAACTAGTATGCTCATTCTGTTGATAGTGCTAATTGTTGTTAAATTAAATTGTCAATTGATTTTATTTCCTTTATGTCCAAAATGTAGTAGAAATTCAAATCAAGAAACCGTTGCTATCCCTATGAATTTATTAGGGGAAGACCTACACAACAAAAAGGAATTTAAAACTACCATTAAGAATGTTTTAAGTTATCAACCCAAATTCCTTCCTCTTGCTCGTTTTCTCCCCTCTCGGGAATGTCGAGAATTTTCTCGAAACTATGAATCATTTGTTTATAAAAATCAAAAGGTCACAACAGTGTCGAGAATGTCGAGAATTTTCTCGAAACTATGAATCATTGTTTATAAAAATCAAAAGGTCAGCCTTTCTTTCTTCTTTTTGAACGCTGTGTGGAAGTGGGTTTTTTTTTCTTTGCAATATAAATAGTTTTTGTTAAACTCACGTTTTACCTAAACCATTGTCCCCATATTCAATAAAAATAAAAAATTATTACATTGTTTTGGTGTGACAGCTTCACAAATCCCGTTCAGTCTAAACGAAAAAGTCACAACAGGGCAGGCGATCGACATGGAATGGAAAACAAGAGTGTTTTGGTTCGAATTGCATTTGGATTATTCTGATTTGGTCTTGAGCGGTTGTATTGCTATTCCGCTGTAAATTTTTTTTGAACATTTTTATAAAATTACATACGAGCCAAGTTTTTTTTTCTTTGCAATATAAATAGTTTTTTTTTAAACTCACGTTTTACCTAAACCATTGTCCCTATATTCAATAAGAATAAAAAATTATTATATTGTTGTGGTGTGACAGCCTTACAAACCCCGTTCAGTCTAAACGAAAAAGTCACAACAGCTACAAGCCAAGTGATCACTGTCCACACTCACTTTAAATATCGTGTGGATTTCGCCTACTTGTCGGAGATGAAATAAATGGCTCTGAGCAGAGATGTTTGCTATATCATTGTTTTCTATAACTCCTATAACTCAAATATATCCGTTTTAATTGAGAGAACCCAGTAAACGACCTATATCCGCTTCAAAAGAAAGTTCTGCAACATTTCCTAGTTTATATGCTCCAACCTTGTGCGCAGATGATTTTGACAACGATGATTTCTGTGTAGAACTCCAACTATTTCACCAACACCGCCACTGAAATATGAATAGGCCACGATAAACTCTGTAACTGGCATATATGGGATGGGGATCCGATGCACCAATGGAAAAGCCTTCGCTTTGCAAAAGAGTATGAACTTTTTGTTATTAATGATATTAATAACTCCGATGAAGATAAACTGTAATGAAACTCTTGGGTAATCAACATTTGTCAATAAACTATTTATAAAATGAGAAGCTTTTCATTAAAATATTTCATCGCACTATGCAGTAGTTTTATGGACCTTTGTGAAATCACCATCAAAACGATAGTCCACATCTCCACGTAGCTGAAATTCACTCGATTTTCTTATCTGTAAGATATTGAGTGGAGGATATTAAGAAGTTATTTAGCTTTAGACACTCTACGATATATTCTAAAGGCTCTATGTATTCTATAAAGAAATAGATACCTCATGATTTCATCCACTTTCGCTTAAATCCGCCTACATAAACAGTACCATGAGAAAACCTTCATTGGTTAGAGCACGTTGCCCATTACAGGAGTTATCACGCATTTTATTATTCACTAAACCCTATAATGGATTGTCAAAAATGAGAAAGGCCAATCAAAACTTGGACTGCCATAATCAGGAAACATTTTGAATGTTTTGATGGACGTGAGTTATATGGACATGGAGATATTAGACAAAGAATAGCTTTTTGGAGATGGCTTATTGTAGCCAGCGGAGCCAGAATAACCCAAAATGGTACGAGCTGTTAAAAGCTGTTAAAATATCGATCTAATATATATATATATATATATATATATAAGAAAAATGAAATAAGCAAAAACTAGCGGTATAAGGGGGAATACTATAAATAAAAGGGAAATTGCAAAAGAACAAAAGAACCCAAAGCGAATTGATTTGAATTACTGGCACATAATAGCATGTTGAAAGATCAAGATTTCAAACTTCATTGGCTTTTGAATAATCACTGATAACATTATTTATAATTTTTTTTATGGATGGTGGACAAATTACGTCGTTTGGGAATTATTTATTTCAGTAATTTGAATTGTGGGAATGATAAAGTCATTCGTTCTTAGTCCAATTTTAGACTTTTGTATTTTAGGTTTTAATAATTTCAGCCCATTAGATCTAATTGGACTTAAATTTAACTTAAAAATTATGCTATTCGGAATAATAAATTTAGCCATATAAAATTATCTAAAAATTATGCAATAATTCAAAAAGTAACTGAAACTACTTGTGAAATTTATCTGTAAAACTAATCTACGCTTGCATAATCACATCAGTTGCTGATTTTCTCTTCTTCTAATAGCTCTCACAATTACTGGTTAGGCTAGCTCCATTGACTGCAAATGTAAGACGTTTCCAAAGCTTGATGCCATCGTCGACAGTAAAGAAACCATATTTTTTTTCCATTGTCTAAGTCGATTATATATATATATATAAGAAAAATGAAATAAGCAAAAACTAGCGGTATAAGGGGGAATACTATAAATAAAAGGGAAATTGCAAAAGAACAAAAGAACCCAAAGCGAATTGATTTGAATTACTGGCACATAATAGCATGTTGAAAGATCAAGATTTCAAACTTCATTGGCTTTTGAATAATCACTGATAACATTATTTATAATTTTTTTTATGGATGGTGGACAAATTACGTCGTTTGGGAATTATTTATTTCAGTAATTTGAATTGTGGGAATGATAAAGTCATTCGTTCTTAGTCCAATTTTAGACTTTTGTATTTTAGGTTTTAATAATTTCAGCCCATTAGATCTAATTGGACTTAAATTTAACTTAAAAATTATGCTATTCGGAATAATAAATTTAGCCATATAAAATTATCTAAAAATTATGCAATAATTCAAAAAGTAACTGAAACTACTTGTGAAATTTATCTGTAAAACTAATCTACGCTTGCATAATCACATCAGTTGCTGATTTTCTCTTCTTCTAATAGCTCTCACAATTACTGGTTAGGCTAGCTCCATTGACTGCAAATGTAAGACGTTTCCAAAGCTTGATGCCATCGTCGACAGTAAAGAAACCATATTTTTTTTCCATTGTCTAAGTCGATATATTGCTGGTCTATGTAAAAGTTCATTAGTGTCAATAATGTAAATTTTTTTTACAATATGTTGAAATGCAAATTGTAAATTTATGCGAATAAACACATATTTATGAAACAATAACATTGAAATGTAAAGCGAGATTTATTCCATAGAATTTTTCAAATCCATGAAACTCTCGTGAAAAGTTTTGTTAAAATCAAGAAGCGAAAACTTTTGAAAGGTTTTGAAAGGAGTGATTTAACTACCCAGCTACCAATATAATAAAACGACGCGCAAAAATTATATTAAAATAAATTAAATTAAAAATTAGAAGGGAAAATGAGGCTTTATGAAATTGCCATAAAGCCAACGCTAATGAATGAATTAAAAGATGAAAAATAACCCTGCAAAATGAAACAAATGATGAAAAAATTGAACCGACAAACGAAGCAAATAATGAAAACGCTTATAATTTTATGATACAATTATTTCGGGATAATTGAATAATTTTATAATTCAATTATTTCGGAATTTTCGACAGAAACTACCATCTGTATGCGTTCTACATGCATTCTGCATGCAACATTTCTATCTATCAGTACAGACATTAAAAGCCGTTGTCATATGTTGGAGAATGAATGCCATCTCAGTTCAGTTATATCTTCTTGTGAGTATATATAGATATATCATTTCTGATTCGTCTAATTCCACTGAAACTCATAATCCCCACACTATACTTTTGATGACTGATGACTGATAACATAAAGAAGAAACGAATAACGTCTCAGAAGCAGAAAAATACTACAGTTTTCGAAGGAAATATTTTAGAATATGGAAAAGTATATTAATATGTTTAATAAGATTATTACAAAGATTATCAAATTTTTAATACTATTTTAAAACCATTTTGATATTTTAGCGCTCGTCCCACAAAAGACGCTTGAAAAATGCTTGAAAGTGTTAATCCTGGGCAAAGAATCACTGAGAATATCTGCTAATTCAGAGATACAAGTGAGGAAAAGTGTGGCTGAAAAAATATTTTTCCTTTCTCTTCAATTTCAAAATTTATCCTAACTGAAAGAAAATGAAGTAAACTGAAAAAATTAAGAAAGAAAAAAGTAATTTATCATAAAATTTGATGATTTATAAACAGCGGTAACAGCGGTAATTTACAGAAACAAAATTTTTAAAGCTTACTTAGTGAAGCCATACATGATTTTAGCCGGAAGGATAAATATTTCTTTTGGAAATGATTTTTTTGACCGTGAAGGCAACAAATAAATACCTGCAGATGCCTCAGAAGAAATTAAAATCGTCCATTATTATCACATTGCTTTCATAATGGGCAATCCAAGTTTTTTCGACTAATCAAAAAAAGCCAAGAAATCTTTCATCTTACTAATATATGGTACTATTATATTATTAGCCAACTTGATTTTTGTCTACAAAAAATTTTTAAAGCCTGAGAAATCATTGTAAAATCAACTATTTCTAGGAAGAATAAAACAGCAAAATTTGTAATTGTCTAAATATTTCACGAAAACATGTTGAAAAATTACTGAAATATTCAGAAATTTGAGCGCACCCCGTTATATTTGTTCCAATTTCTTCAGCTATAATACTGAGAATTCCCTTAGGTTCGCCGATATGAAAAAATTCCGCAGAAGAATAATATATTACGATCAAAACGCAAATTATACTGACAAGTAATGTCTAAAAGGCACAATTATTCCATAATTGGTAAAAGCAAAATCAGCAGTTTTTAAATTTAATATGCAAACAGTGTTGTTACAATTTCTATTATTGATTAAATTCGGAACTTGCGATTAAATATTTTGACATAAAATATCTCAAAAGGCCCCTTTCCTTTTATTGCAAAAAGGTAAATTCTTGAATTATTTCAAAGAACGATTCCACTTGCATTTACAGCTGACATTATAAAGTTTATCATCACTGCGAGATTAATGAATCCGAGATTTAA